GCACAGCATTCCCAGGAGTGAGTGTGCACAGCATTCCCAGGAGTGAGTGTGCACAGCATTCCAGGGAGTGAGGGGTTCACAGCATTCCCAGGAGTGAGGGGTGCCCAGCATCCCTGGGATCCCCAGAGGGGTTAGGTCTGCTCGAGGTGGGTCCATGAGCCCCTTGTCCTCTCCAGCAAACCCATGACGAGGGATTTTTCTACCCTAAGACAAAAATGGTAACTTTTGCCAATTTTTCCCCTCTACTGGAATATAAAGACTCTTTTTTTTCAGGCCAGCTTTACTAATTTGAACTTGTTTTGTTTTGAGCTGCCCCGCTGGGCTGTGCCCAGGCAGGAGGTGGGGATGGAGAGCTGTTGCCTTTGCAGGAATGTTTTCCCCTCTGACTGCCAGAGCTCTGCTGTGCCACAGCCATAGGTTTGTTTCCTGCCCCAAAGAGCCTGGAGGCAACAAACTTGTGCTTTGGAGCAGGGAGCACCAAGGAACACGGACAGGAGAGCCACAGGCTTGGCCTGATGGGAAATGATGGATCTCATGAACATTCCCTGGCAGGAGCAGCAACCAGGGGAAGATTTCCTGGAAAGGGGACCCTTATCAGCGTGTGTTGTGGCTGCTGCCACTCACCTGTGGGGTTTGGGGGTGGCCAAAGCCCTCACAAGGACCTCTTGGGCCAATTCCTGTCAGGAATATTCTTATGTTGTTCTTTTTTTCCTTCCTGAACCATCCAAAGCTCCTGGTCCAGGTTCATCCTTCCAAGGCTTGTGACAAAGCTGAAAGGGAAGGACAGAACAGTTTGAATGTAAATGTTTGAACATTTGCAGCACTTTGCTGACAATTAATCAAAACATTGTAACAAACCTTTTTCCCTGAGGAAAAGCAACTGTGAGGGTGACACCAACCCACCCAAGCCCCTGTGCCCCCGGAGAACTGCTCAGCTGGGACAGACGTGTCCCCCTGTCCCTGTGGGTTGTCAGAGCTCAGTGGGAGCAGCTGATTCCCATCAGTCTGTCAGGCAGTGCAGGAATACTCTGGTTTTCCCAGGGAACTGTCCCCGTGGCACCACACAGGTGTCCCCACCCTGCCCTCCCTGCCAAGCCCCTCTCACCATCCTGCTCCCCTTTCCCTCTGGATTGCAGCTCCACGGGCAGCCCGAGGCTGGCAGTCAGGTGCTGTTGGAGCTGGTTTTCCTGGATCCATCCCAGCCAGGGGATTGTGCCTCAGGGTGAGACACAGCTCCCATTCCTGCCTCCCCCAGGAGGGCTCCACTCTGCCAGTGCTCAGCCAACATTTGCCCCTGACCATCTGGGCTTGAGGCTCAGCCTGAGCCACCTCTACCTGCTGTGACAGCCCTGGAGACACCATCCATGAAAATCCCGGGGAAGATGGACAGGAAGGACCAAAATCCTAATTCCTGGTGCTTCACCTGCACACTCCACCCCTGCACTGGGCGGGACAAAGCCCCTGAGGTGACAATGGGGACAGTGAGACACCAAAGGTCAGTGCTGGGCACTCAGAGCTCTGTCTCACTTCTCAAACACATCCATCAGGGTTTATTCCCCCTGCCTGGGTCTGTAGGGAAGCAGAGCTGGGGGCTCCAGGCAGGAGCTGTGGTGAGGCCCTGCTGCTTGGAGGCTTCTGGATGTCAGTGGTGGGTCTCCAAATCCACCCCATCCCTCAGAGGTGTTTGTGCTGCTGGAGGTTCCCCTCTGTGACCCAAGAACATGGAAGACACCAAGGAATTTAAAAATAACAAGTCTTAAAGAAAAATCCCTGTCAGCCACTGAGAGAGGTGAGTGCAGCCCCGAGGGATGCTGGGGGTCAGTATGATTGAAGCCAACCAGCCCCATCAGGGGATTCATTTTAGGGATGTAGAGCTCAGGGAACACACACGGCCCTTCAAAGCCCCAGCAGGGACAGCGACTGGCACAGGGAGATTTCTGGCTGTCGTGCCCAGCAGGTCCTTGGCAAGTCCTCCAGGGACAGGGGCATTAAGGGGCTGCAGCCACTCAGGACCATCACCCTGCCAGAGTTCTCCCCCCTACAGAGCCCACACACGAGGGAGGGGCCCAGGCAGTGACAACTCTCAGCTCACCCACAGTGGGCTCCTCCTCCTGACAGCTCTGACCTGGAACTCGTGGCATTGGGAAAGTCCTGCTGCTTTTACCTCAGCAACCACCAACCCCACAGCTCACAGCTGGCAGAGCTGTTGGGTGGCTGAGGCCACCATCCATCACTGGCTGGAGAGTTTTTTCCCCATGGAGAGAACACCAAACCTCTCGTTGCCTGTCAGTGAGCAGATGGTGTGTGGCTGTTCAGCTGCTCCAGCTCCACGTTGCAGGTCCATCTCTGCCCAGCACTGGAAGCACAGGAGGGTTGTTAGTGCTCACACACGCAGAGCTGAGCCCCCCAGTGTCACCCCCACACCCAAACCCCCAGTCCAAGGGAGCTCCAGGCAATCCTGCTGCTCCTGCAGCCCGAGGATTCCACTGTTGCCCTCAGCTACCCGAGCACTGGGATCTGGGGGAAAAGCTGCTCCCGTTGCCACGGCAACAAATGTATTTTCCTGAAAGCAACACACACAAAACACAGTTATTACAGATTAAAAAAACCACGGTGGTAACCAAGGAACAGAGAAGACATTTTCTCTTCTCCCCTTCAAAAATCCATGTTCACTTTTGCATTCCCAGGGCGCAGCTGCAGCCGGGGCCCAGCAGGACACGGGGCAGGGAAGCTCCAGGTCAGGAAGGTTCTGCTCAGCTGGTTTCCCTCTCCTGTTTGAGGCCTGCAGGGTGTGGGCACTCAGACTGGCACTGCTCCCACAGTCCCAGGGGCCAGACCCGCCCCCACCTGGGCTCTGCAGCTCAACATTCCAGCCAGGTCACCCTCGGCAGGGAAGTGGAGAGGCATTGAGGGAGGGAAAAGGTCTTTCCATGCTGGACTCCGGGTCAGCAAGGACAGCAAACCCCTCAGCACTGTGGGTTTCAGCTCTTGGTACCACCTGAGCAGCAGCTGTAGGAATCAGACCCAGTTCCTCCTCACCCCTTCCCTCTCTCCTTTCCCTGGCACTGGAGCTGTCCCACCCCAGGACACAGCTCCAGCAGCTGGACACAGCGAGGAGCTCCCAGCAGCTCCTACTTTCAGAGCAGCACAGGGAATGTGCCTGAGCTTCCCAAGCTGTGTCAGCATGACCCTTGCAGGGGTGGCCCTGCTCAGCTGAAAGCTGTGTCAGCACTACACCTGCAAGAGGATCCCTCCTTCCCCTGCCAGCATCCTGCCACTGCAATGAAAGATGGGAAACAGAACCCCAAACCTGATCCCTCCAGGCCTTTGGAACAGCTGACGCAGCTCCTGCCCTCTGCCCCACAGAGCTGAGAGGGACAGGGACACCCCAAACCCCCAGGGCAGCTGACAGAGCAGGGCACCCATCCCTGGCTCATCCCACTGAACTTCAGAGAGGTCCATGGTCATTTATTCCAACTGCTGCCTGGCTTCCCCGGGAAGGACAAACACCTAAAGCTTTCCCAGTTTACCCATCATGTCCCACTCAGGCACAGCGCTCAAGGCCAGGGGGTGTAAGAAAAGCAAGTTTAGTTCCAACACATTTGGCATCCAACAGGCAGTAAAAAAAAAAAAAAAAGCCTTATATTTTATTTCTTGTAAAAATCTTTCAACACATGCAGACTAAAACCAGTGTAAGAAAGTCTCCACCATTGTTTAAACAAATAACTATACTTAAATATAAGCGTCTGCAATTGACTGGTATAAAAATAAGGTACGTTTTGCTTTTTTTACAGAAATCCTGTCTCCAGTTCTCAGCTCAATAAACAATACACGGCTCTAATACATACAACGAACCTGATCGTGGTTTTCTCCACCCCTTGGATACTGCTAAGGTATTATGTGCAAAAAAGTTGGTAACGGTTCCTTTCCCGAAAGAAAAAGACAAACAAAAGTCTTCCGCCCCTCTGGGAAAACGAGCCCCGGGGCCCCCAAGCCCCTCCAAACCTGGCAGGGGGGTTGTGCAGTCCCACAGTTCCTGTGCCCACCCGGGGGGCTCAGCGCCGGTGCCGCCCGTGCCCCGAGCGGCCGCTGCCGTGGTGCTTCCCCTTGTGGGAGCGCTCGAAGGAGCGGGAGCGCTCGCGCCGCTCCCGGTGGTGGCTCCGCTCGTGCCGGTGCTTCTTGGCGGCGTCCGAGTGATCCCTGGACTTGCTCTGGGAGCGGGAGCGGGATTTTTTCCGCTTGTGGCCGTGTCTGTTGGCGCCCTTGAGCTCCTCGCGGCCGTGCTTGGCCTTGAGGTGGGGGGAGCCGTGGTTGTGGTGCCGCCGGGGGCTCCCGCTGTGGCTGCGCGAGCGGCTCCGCGACCGAGAGCTGTAGGTGCCCGACAGGCTGCGCCGGTTGTTGTAGCTGCGGGAGAGGGGGGGGTTAGAACGGGCCTTTCACACGGGGAAACAACAGCCAAACCACAGCAAAGGGGCTGCCAAGGCACCAGGAGAAGTCAGAGACTGTTTCTCCCACGGGGGTAAATGAGAAAGGACAGTGGATAACCCCAACGTGCAGTCTGGGATAGTGGAGGGTGTCCCTGCCCATGGCAGGGGATGGCATTGCATGGGTTTTATGGTCCTTCCAACCCAAACCAGTCTGGGATTCTTTTAGTTGAGCTCATTTGAAAATAAACAGCCCAAACCAAACCCAGAATGCAGCACCTTTTGAGATTTTTCCACCTTGTCCCCTCAACACCAGCTCACAAACTGCTTATTGCCCTTTCCCCTCAGTGATCTGACAGGGATACTTTGGGGAACCCTTCACTGAGATCCAAGTTGGCAGCTTCCAACTTGGATATGAGCCTGAAGATTCTTCAAAAGTACGTATTTATGAAGGCAGGAGCTCTCCCTGCATCCCCCTCTTCCCACCACAGGAGAGGGGCAGAGCCCTGAAGAGGGGCAGAGCACCAGGGAGCGCTGACACCACAAAGCTGTCACACGTCCAACTGGTCCTGTGGCACTTCCCACCCCTTCCACGGGCACTGTGTTCCCAGGCTGCTCCCATTTGTGACGGGATCCTTAGGGAACTAAAGATGCCAAAGGCCCCCAGCCCTGCCCCTGCTGCCCTCCCCAGACCCCACTCACTGCCGCCTGGGCGTGTGCGAGCGAGAGCGCGACTTTGTCCTCGACCGGGACCGGCTGCCGCTCCTGCTGCTTCGACTTCTCTTGCTTTCTTTTCTCAGGCTGGAGGGGGGCAAAAACAAACCAGGCTTGCACTTCTGAGGCACTTGTTACTCCCCTGAAGGAGCTCAGCAGTGGCTCACTGCACATTAGTTATAGAAAGCATTTTTACTCAAGTGTTCTCTTTACCAGGAGAGGTTCTACCTACCCATTGTAAGGGCTCTTGGAGGTTTGCTGCCTCTCCTCTGGCTCCTTTTTAATGGTTTTGGTATTCACAGACACTGGAGATTTCTCTTCAGCTTTTACTTCTCTCGGGGAAGCTGAGAATTAAATTTAAATTCAAAATTAGCTATTTATTCATCCTTTGTCATGAACATACTGTACATCCCTTTAACACCTGTACCAGTATCTGCACTAAATGTAGATACGAATTCAGCAGCTACTATTTCATTCCATCTTTCCATTTATAGTTCGTTCTCGGAGCAGGATGTTCATGGGGAGACCCATAATGTGAAGTCAAGTGGCAGCAGAAGAGGAGGAAGAGCACTGTGACCTCCACACCACACAGTCAGGCCCACCTTCATCCACCACGGGCCAAAAGGTACAAAATAAAAGCTGCCCTCATGGCCCACAGATACAGAGCTTGTTACCTGGGCAATCATTTCCAATGCCACAGAAAGGATTAAGACTGAACAGCAAACTGCAGCTAAGTGTGTTTAGTCCATAAGTGACTCTGTCTCTACAGAGATGGATTCATCTCTCATGGAAGGGCTGCTAAGCCCAACTGAGCTCCTGCTTTCCAACACTTCCAGCCTTGGCTCCCACCTCACATTCTTTGTCCATGAGAAGTTCACACTTCCCAGCTCAAACCCTCTGAAAACTCCAACTCTTCAGAAGGGACTGTGACAGTGCTTGCTCCTCACAATCTGTGCCCAAGCTGCTGCAGAGCCACAGACAGACCAGGCCCTGAGCCTCCTGCCTCACCACCAGCACTGGGTCAAGGCCTGTGAGGGCCTTTGAACCCCCCTGGCAGTTCACGGCTCAAAAGCAGCAGCAGGGAGAGGTGAAAGCACCAAGACAAACCATCAGACTTCTGACAGACAGGCTGGTTCCAAATAGGTGATACAGTATATTTCGTCTGGTGCCAAGACTGTGCTGTGCCTCTCCCTCATTTCCTGACCACCAGCTGCCTGCCTTCACCACACTCAACAGTTGCCAAGTGCATTAAAAAAGGCAGAGAAAGCCATTTTCAGAGACACCTGCAGCAAAAGGAGCCATGAAGGCCACTGCAACATCCCCCACATTGAATCCAGAGTCTCTCTTCACACCACGTAACACACACCAACTCCTGTCTCATGAAGGGTGCATGTCATTAATAGATCACTCTCCTATCTGTGGAAGTATGGAGTAAAGTATCCCTTTTCTCTATCATCTGTTATTTCAAGGTCTTGAAACTGGTTTTAAAATCTGTGTTTGAAAAAAAAAAGATTTGTCTTGCTGCTTAGTTCTGTGAGGGAGCCTAAACTGTCTCAGCAGTTCAAGATGCAAACCAGCCTTTTTTTTTTTAACTACCCTGGGACACAGATTTAGTTACTTATCAAACAGTATTATGCAAGTTTCTATTCAGAAAACAAACTTACATGGTTTGGATGCAGGAGAAAAGCCACCCAGTGTTGAGAGTGCTGGAGTTCCATCTGGATTTAAACCTTTTGCCTTCAGTTTAGCTTCCTGTAGTGCCATTTTCCTCTTTTCTACTTCTTTATCCAGAAACTCATAATTGGGCTGTGGAAGAAACAATGAGGTAAGAGGCTGAGCTAATGTAATTCATATTTTCATCTCATTTCTGGAAAATACTCAGTTGGCTTTAATCATCTGTCCAGTAATGGGGGTAATTTCCAGAATTTGTTCTCACACCCTCCTCACGGGAGCCTTTCCTATTGGTAGATCTGTATTCCAGCATTCCCAAACTTTTGGAGAGCCATAACTCAGCTCAAGCTGCACTGAGCACAGAGCAGGAAAACCGAACACCTCAAACTTACCTTTTTTCTGGTATAAAGCTTGAGAGTCGTCAGGCAGATCTCCTGAATCTCCTCTTCCGTGGTGCCAAAGAGCAAGAACCAGTGAGGGCGAGTGGGCAGCGGAATCTGAAACCCAAACAACCAGCAACAGGGATTACAGCCCAGGCTTTTGTTTTCAATGTCTGCATGAATTCTGCTGAAAGCAGCCCCCTGGCAGTGCCAGGCAGTGCTCACCTGCAGGGCCCTGGCAGCGAGGTAAATGCAAGCACACGCAATGGTCTCGGGCTGAAAGCGAACAAACACGTTTGTCCGGAGGCTGTCGTTCATGTAATTCCTAAAAACACACAGCAGGAAAGGTTGGATCTCTGGTTCACATTTTTTTTTAGAGGATAACAATACTGGAGACTCAATTGACTTTATTATTTTTTCTGTTATTACGTTAAACATTTGGTTTCTGTGGAACTGTGGTATTTGGTGTCACTTTGTAACAGTCTGCACCTTGGCACTGTTTGAAATCCCAGTGCAACAACGTGTAGTAGGCAAATGCCAGCAGCATTTCATGGCTGCTTCCTTGGTTCATTTATCCCAAATGTCCAGAGCTCACAACCTAACAAGTACTTTGCATCTGTCCAGCTGTTTGCCTCAGACACCAGTGGTGCTGTATTTAAAAACCAATTTAACACTCAGGTGCAAGCAGGAAAGCACAGTGTATTTGCCACCTACCATCTTCCAGAGGCAACCTGGGCAGTTCATAAAACACTGACTGCACTTAAGTTTTGTGTGCCTCGAGCCCCACTAACTTCATCCAGAGAGAGGCATCCCATTAGCTCACTGAGTGTTGGGAAAAGACCTGTGAGTTAGTCAGGGCCCCCACTCCCCTGAGCTCCTGGTCTTGCCCAGGGGGGGCACTGCCAAGCAACACATGCCAGGAGATACAATAACAGCAGAGACCTGCATGGATTTGTAAGTTCCCAAGCCATGGGAGAGAGAGGAACAGCAGTCAGTCAGCACTGACTCTCCAACCCCCATGCCCAGTATGGCTCTAGGTGAACATGCTGCATGCACCGAAATCCTCTCTGGAACTCAAGTTTAGCCAAATCAACCAAGTAACTGTTGGCAGATCGTCCCCCATGTGTCCTTTAAACACTACAGCATACAGGAGGTAGGAACAAAGACATTCAGAGACAGTTGGAACAGTTACTTCTGGAAACAAATATACAAATCCTTCGGCACCCCTGGGCACCCGGAGGTGCTGCCCGCTGGATCACGGCAGTGAGTCTCGGATGAGAGCTTGCACTGGCTTGGCTGGAGAGAAGGGCAGCCAAACCGGCCATCCCCAGGTCAGGGCTGAGGTGCAGAGGGCAGAGCTCTATGACTTACCATCAGGGACTACCCTTCAATCAAAGAGTAGAAAAAAGAACAAAGTTAAATTGAGTCCTCCGTGACTGCGCCGCAATCAAGCCATGAAAATAGTGAGCAGAAACAAGCACCACAATGTTTTCAAAGCGTGTGTTTGGGGAGGAACTTACAGCTCATTGCTTTGCATAGGGATCATCAGGCTTGTTATTTCTGCTACTATTTTCCTGGCTAGGAAAAGAATGGAAAATAACTTACCAGGCTGTCTGTACCAGGGTTTGATTACGTTCACATTCTAGGACTTGTAAATACATAACAATGATCTGAGAAATAAGGGGGGGGAAGAGAACAAAAAGACTCAGTTTTAACACATAAAGCAAGACGAAGTAAATATATATGTAAATATATATTTTTAAAATCAAACAGTACTCCCAAACAATGAGGGCTCCTTTTCTAAGCACATACTGTAAGCTCTCATGCCACAGAATATACTGAGTTGGAAGAGACCCACAAGGATCACTGAGTCCAACTCTCAGCCCTGCCCAGGACCAGCCCCAAGAGTCTTCCCATCATGTTCAGACAACTTGTTAAGATTTTTCAAAACCAGCCACCACCTTTAACCCTTCCCAAGGCAGCAATTTCGACCCAAGTCAATATGACTGTCTGCCCAAGTACTCTGGCAGAAACATTAATAACAACTACAGAGGCATAAAGAGAAGAATCCAGGTCATTCTGACACCTGTGTTTCTTGTTCCACAGCTCACAGTGATGCCATCAAGGTAGAGTAATAGATACAATCAGATTACTTCTGAGAACTCACCTTATGAGGATGCTTGACATGAACACAAAATCCCAACTCCTTCAGTACCCTCCTTTCTGCTTTGATTACTTGATTTTTGGTGTTTATGTAGTTCTGATCAAGTATCAGGGGGCTTGGAGTCCTATAGTTTGCAAGAAATAAAATCAAAACTGTTTTGCATATCCAAAAATAACGGCAACTCTGTTTTCCCTTCCAACCAACTAATGGCAACAGAAACCGGTTTTCAACTCCTGCAAGCAAGTTTAAGCATTAATCTTGTGCTGTCCAAGTTTAGATAAACTAGTTTAGTTGCTGCTGCTTTTGACTAGCTACAGATTAGATGGCTGAGATAAAAAATAGCCTTCTGCTGCTGTGTATGCAAACTACACTGCTCCAGCTGCTGCGAGGAGTTGCTTGGCAGGAAGGATCCCAAAGAACCTTCCTCTCCATGGCAGAGGTGGGGGAAGGAATGTGACACAACTGCCTTTGCCAGGCAGGACTTCAAAGCAGAAGTAAGGCAGAACAGGGTTTTTCCTAATTAATATTGAAGTAGCAACTCGTGCTTTAGAAATTCCTATAAACTGAAGAGAAGATTATTCAGCCTTCAGAGAACAAGGCAGCCCTGGCTCTGTGGTGTGTGAAAAGCTGAGTAAAGCACAGAATTTCCCCTCTGAAGGGTGACAGATCTCCCTGCACCCCTGACCCGTGGGTACCACGGATATCCCTGCTGCTGTTTGCATTTCCAAAACAAGAGCTCGTTCCACAAAAAGATTTCGAACTCTAGCACTGTCTAGTCCTAATTCCTTCCAAATCCAACACCTGAACTCTCCAAAGCACTCTGACCTCGAATGACTTGCTGTGCACTTTATGCACAAGTGTCACGCTCCATTTCATATTCTTTGCTTTGCCCGTGCTTAGACTTGACCTTTCAACATTCCACTCTGGATATTTGAATCCAGTTCCTCCTGAAGACAGACCAGCTTTTTCCCTGTAATATGTCTCACACATTCCATGTGCTTTCCAAAGCAGAAAAATGTTTTCAGAGCTCCTTATGCTCCAATAAACCACAGTTTGTGTATATGATACACCCATTACATTACCTTCAAAAGAAAAAAAAATAAGTAATGCAAAGTGGATTCAAAATACAGCTTTAGCTGTATCAGGCAAAATATTTCACTGCTAACTTGCAAATTCCATGAGTGGATCTCACTTCTCTTCCCTGACAGGTCACAGAGCACATAAAACACTCCAAACCAAGGTTCTCACCCCAGGATGAAAAAGGGTTGACTTAATTACAAGGCTGGATGAGGAGCTTCCCAACTTCCATAATCCAGTTTATGGCATGACTCCTGTGGTCACCTGGACGGATGCTGGTTGTCATTGGCAAAGGACACAGCAAACCATCCACTTCCCCAAGAAAAGCACAACATTGGACAATTTGAAGCACAAACTCCCCTCTCTTCCCAAGGGGGTGAGAAGCAGCTCCCAGCTCTGGAAGGAACTGCTGCAGCTTTTCAGTGCCAGGAAGGACCTACAACTCCAGCACCAGCCTTACTCCTCCTGTTTGCTAAGAAATGCCACGTTTTCCACTTACATGAAAGTAACTTCTCTAGTTAAGTGTTACTCTCACTCAGCAGGGCAAGGGTACAGTTTGCCATTCCAGCTACTCTAAATAAATCCAGTCAGAATAGGGGGAGTTTTTTGTTTTGAGGGTTTTTTTGGCTGGTTATTCTGGTTCCCCCCCCCCCCATAAATTAACTGGAAAGCAAGAACTTTTCAAGCTTATTTAAGGCAACTTCAGTGAGAGGCTGATGTTATCTGAACACTCCAGCAGGCTGCACACAGTGCTCTGGAGTGAGAATGGGAGAACCAAGCTCAAGTTCTTTCAATCAGTGAAACTGAGTCACTTCAATTCGTTCCAATCAATTATACTGGGGTTTATAACAATATTTCCTCCAGTGTTGCTCTCCACAATTTTATCCAGAGATCACTGGCATTAACAGGATCTGCAAAGCATCATCCAGAGTGAGTTCAGGTGCCCAGGCTCAGTTTAGCAGAACACTTCCTCAGAGGTGGGACATCTGGGATCACGGATTTAAGGCAGCCATGACTTCCAGTCTATCGGAAACATCACCAGTGGGACAACACGGCTGCCCAGGATCCTCCACCACCCCACGTTCCACATGGCCCTGCATTCCCAGACAGCTGTGCAAGGAAGTTAAGGCAGCTCCAGGTGCAGCAGGACACACATGAGCCTTGCTGTAGGTTAATTTTTCACTGTCCTTCCCCAGGGCCACGGGATCAGCACCAACAGTTCACCCTTAGCACATGTTCCACAGGGAAGTGACAGGAAACCCAACAGCCCAAGTGGGCTTTGCTTTGCTCTGGTGTCCCATGTTACTCAGGTCACAAATTCCAGAGACCTACAGCTCTAAGGAAGCCATGAAAAATATCAGTTTGTCCAGGTAGTGCTTCCAGAAATAAAGACTTTTATCCACTTATGGAAAAATAAAAATCTGCAGAGATTTAAGTGCTTTACTGCACTTTATTACTGGCAAAGTGAAGTTCTCCACCGTATTAAGATTCACCAATATAGCACTCTTGGCATGAACTCTGAAGTGGTGGTAAACAATTATTTACAAGGTGGAAACTTCAGAGACTTCCCTTTGGAAAACTTTTCTGCTTTCTACTAAATAAAAAGAGGAACTTTGCTACTGCATTTGCTGCACTTAGTTCTCAGTCCAAGAGTTATTTCAGGTCCAAGTAACAAACCAGAGAAAAGTAACTTATAACCTTATGTATAAAATATATAAAACGTGACCTTCAAGCCCTGGATAGCCAAGGAATATTGCAAATTCTTACTCTGAGTCTGTTTTACAGCACTAGAGCTCCAGGCAAGACTTTATCATTAACAACAGAGCACACAGTGTCCCCTCTGGGAAGCCAATCCAACACTCAGATGCAACGCTTGATTGGGATTAAGATTGTGTAACAACCCAACAGATTAACACACTCTGTAATGTGCTTGTAACAACAAATAAATTACAAATACCCGTTTTTATAAATCACTCTGACAAATGAGACCTAAGTTCTCAACACAGCTGCCACTTCTCTGGATGTAATATTAAACTTTGATGTCTTTGGGATGACTAATCCATTGGAGGAACAGTGCCCTGTGTGTAATTATGGCCACATGGAGCAAAGTACTTCTGACAAGTACAGCACAACAGCAGCGTCTCGTTTCAAAGACCGGAGCTCTGTTGAGCTGGTCAATACAAGAACACGAGTTCTGTTTGTCTCCAAGGTCATAAATCCAAGCAGCACAGACTTGCAGGGCAGTTTGAAGAGCACTAAGTGTGTAACATTAATGCAGCCACTTCCAAACCCACTGCAGGGACCCGTGTCCTGCACCTGAGCGTCTCAAAGCGCCCCGTGTGAGGTTACAGCACGACACCAGTCACATTTGGTTCCAGTCTCAGGACTTTCTGCAGCTTTCAAGCACATTTAGGAGAAATAAAAGCAACTTCGAGCTACATTCTACAAGATAAACAACAGTTGCACTTTGCTCAGAACACATGTTTTGGCACACAGTTATTTCAAAGCAGTTTTTCCACAGTACGAGCTTTTCTCCATGCACACAAACATTTTACATGCAGTTCTACATCACATTTGCTCGTCAGAAATTCAAAAGAAAATATGCTTGTCCAAAACACTTATTTAGCTTTTTCTTACTTCTCAGAATTAGAAATACCACCTCTGGTTGACTACATGTCTCATAAAAAGAAAATTCCAATGCAATTCCCAGTTCTGCAAACAGGTACATAGAAGGGACTGCTTACATCATAATTGGTGTAAATTTACAAAGATTTCTGTATCCTTGTTTTACTATGAATTCAAACTGCAATTATACAGAGCCAGAAAGTGGAACTAAGAACCCAAAACTGGTTAAGAAAGAAAGCAAAGCCTACCCAAACTACCCCAGATGTGTGTGCAGGTTAAGAGCTTCAGTTAACAGAAAAAACTAGACTAGAAAAGAAAGTACAGCAGCCTGAGTGTTTCAGTTCTGGGTTGTGTGTGAGAAACTAACTACAGCCTAAGTGTTAGCTTCAGTAAAAAAATAATAAAAAAAAAAATAATAAAAAGGTTAAGCTAGTATTCTAAAAACCTGGACAGCAAAGAAAAAAGCTTATAACAAGATACAGGAGTTCTTCCAAATGGTTCACCAGCGGCCAACCTGTTAGTCCCCCGGTTCCAGTGACCTATTCTCAGAGCACTGGCTTCTCCTTGGGGATTTTCGATACTTCACTCACTGTTGCCATGACGACAGCTTCATCTTTATGTACCACTCCACATCACCCAGGCTTTGGTAAATGTAGCTGGTCGCTGTATAGTCGGTTGCAAGGGAAAAAAGAGTTGAAGTTAATAACGTGTACAGGTGATGGAACTGTCAGCTTGTAAAAAGCACAGAAAAACGTTTACATCCTGCTTGCTAAAAACAAAAAAAAAAAAGGGGGGGTTGTGTGCAGGTCTGAATGTCAGACTGCAGCGTTTTAAGGTTCGTTTCATGCAGATTCACTCAGAATCGCAGAGCAACAATACCCATTTCTCCCGAAAATAATGGGTAGCAGTGCACGAGTTCTCTGGACATGATGCACTTTAGACACCATGTAACATGCACAAGGTGGGAATTGGAACAGGCTAGCTGGAAAGATTTAAATTCACAGGTTAAGTTCAATTTCTCTGATCTTTCACACAGCACAAAGAAACAGCTAATTCATATTCTCGTTGCAGAGACAAGTAAGGCATATGATTAATTAACCTTCGCTGCCTGGATTGAGGCCAAAACATTACTAATCACTGAACCTGCTCCAGTAATTCCAATACCAGACTCCCTTATCAGAACTGTGGGAGACAGTCCCACTGAACTCACAACCCCACACCACTTCTCACAATTCCCTCAGGGCTGGAACAACCTAAACACCAACACCAACAAAGCTCAGTCCCAAAGTGTGACACTGACCCTTTCTTCTTGGATCTACAACTAACTTGGGAAAAACAAGCACGAGGCAGTACAAGCCAAAGCTTTGGCTGCAACAGAAGCATAACCAGATAAAGACATCAACAAAGAGCTGGTTTCCTAAGGGATTTCTACTCTGTTTCTCAGAAAAGGTTACACCACATGGAAGATTCAATTCCTGCTGTACCCTGGCGACACAGGGCAGAGAAATAAAGTGTGAATTTAATAATCCAGCCGAAAACAAAATCCTCTTGTAACTACAGAGTTCCTTAAACTTTGGGCAATCAGCCACGGAAAGCAAAGCTGAAGCCTCCAATCCCAGACTATAATTCTGCTGCTCCATAGAACTAAGGAGATTTTGTGTTTAACAGCAACTTAGGGAACTCCTCCAACCACTCCTTGTTCCTCTCACTACTTTGTTAATCTGCTTTACCCAAGAACAAACATTGCTTTACACACAGAAAGCAGCACTGGTCTCTCACAGCTCTGCAACCCCTGCCCCTGCCCAGGCACCAGGACAACACCACTCCCTTGTTGTGCATTAGAGATGTTAAAGATGCCTCCAGCCTCCCAGGCTCGTCATTAAAGCTGCACACACTACAGGACAAGCCAGACCTTATCCCAGGTATTTTCTACAACGGCTTTTTTTCTAGAAGATAATTACTGCCATCACCAAAAATTCGACTTCTTTTCTTAACTGATGCTTAATTGGCACCACAACCACACTTAGAGACCACACACCAACGACAGAAAAGCATTCAAACTATCGAATATGGCTAAAAATCTGGAGAATACACAGCAATCCACTACTGGCTACTCGCACCTAAGGCTACCTTTCAATAATCGCATGACAACAAAAATATCAATCAACCAACCAAAAGCTACAACCATGAGCCTAAAACTAGGACCAATACTCGTGACTTGCAGCCAAATGAGAAACAGAAATGGGTCTACCAAGTGAACAAAAGCAGAAGTCGGGATTGCACTGTACTGCCTACAGAGCAGCCAACCAGCACTCCCTTCCCAACTTTAGGTCGTTGAACTTAGCCTGGAAAAATACTGTGAATCGAACGCTGCAGTACATTAGCGGTAACAGGTGTTTACGTTCGTAACGAAGCTGATCTTACCTTTTTGCTCTTAACTGTCGTAAATGATGGAACACGTTGATCACGTCCCTTATCCGACGAGGCGCCTCCTCGATTTTGGACGCGAGATTGATGCAGGCCATGGCAACAATCTGAAAAAAAGGCCCGTTTCCGTTAAGAAAGCGATATTTAACCCCGCTAAGGCTAGAATTACACGAGTAAGAAGCAAACCCGCGAGGCCCGAGGGGAGCAGCCCGTCCCACACAACCCCCCCCCCGGCCTCGGTGCCCCGCGCCGCGCTCACCTCAAAGCTGTGCTTGACGAAGGACTTGGAGTAGAAGAAGCGATGGAACAGCACCTGCCCGGTCGCCATGGCCACCTGTGAGGGCAGAGGGAGGCGCAGAGGGAGCCGATCAGTGCCCGGCCCGGCCGCCGCCATTTTGTGCGGCCCCGCCGCCCCCCCCGCCCTTCCCGCCGCCACAATGGCGCCGCCCGCCCTGCCCTTCCCTTCCCTCTTCTCTTCCCTCCCGCTGCAAACGCCGGGAGGCCCCACCTGCGGCAGCCGCAGCAGGATGCCGGCCGCCTGGATGAGCTCGCAGCCCAGGATGCGCAGGTCGGTCTCGCACTGCAGGTCCAGCCCGTCCTGCATGGAGGGGGTGGGCGAGAGTCGCTCCTCGGGGATCAGCGAGTGGTCGATGGTGAGCGACACCTCGGAGTAGAGGCGGTCTCCGATGAGGATGCCGGCGGGCGCGGGGGGCGGCGGGTTGGGGGCGGCGGGCGCGGCGGCGGCGGCGG